GAACTATCAATACCTGTCATAGATTCATAAATTTCTTTCGTTGTAGATGTAGATGAAGATGTTGATGAACCTGATACGTCGTCGGATATTAGTTACTTAGATGATAATATGGAAAATGATCAAAATGTGGTAAATGTAAAGAGAAAAAAGAATCAGAATCGTAAACTGAAGGATTCTCAACAAAGAAATAAGAGTAAGTAAAAAATTATTTTGCAATTATAATACACATATAGGTATATATACAATTTTGACATTATAATTATACACATATACATATTGCACATATACAAGGTGTATGACAAAAAGTTTTGAATCAAAAATATACATATAGATTTGGTCATACTGAACAAAACAGCCCTTTATCATTTTGCAAACCACGCAAAATTTTGAATTATTAATTATTAATTATTAAAAATTGTCATGTATAGAGGTTTCTTTAATTAATAACTCGGAAATTTGCGTGGTTCGCAAAATGATAGAGGACTTTTTGTTCTGGATGACCTAATCTACAATACGTGTATGTTTTGAATTCGAAACTTCTCGTTACTTACTCTATATATATAAATCTTTAAATATTTTATAAAATTTTAATTAAATATTATATGTAAATCTTTAGAGACAATTATATAAATTAATAAATATTTTAATATTGTATTTCCAGAATCTACTCACACATGGACACCAGATGAAAAACGTGTCGTTCTCGATGCTTTTGGTCATTACATACATTCCACTGACAAGAAATTACCCACATTCAGTGAAATTGGAAATCTTATTCAAAAGCATAAGGACTTATTAGGACACCAAAAAGTGCCTGCGATTAAAACATGGGTACGCAATCAAAAACAAAAATATAAAAAGGGAATGAAAGTATAAACACAGAATGATTTCGTTTTTAAATGATACCTTAGAACATCAGCAGTAAGTAAAATAATAATTGTTTTATTAATAATTATTCATTTTGATAGTTATTTAACATTTATGTTATAATAATTTCTTAACATTTATTTCAGAACTATAACTATTTCAAAAAAGAGCAATACTTTGTAACCATGATTGATCGCGACAATAGCCGAGGTGATCGGAGAAGTTGTGTATAATGTCCTGATTCAACGGCCCCTGTCCCTGGTTGAGTGTTAATAATGACGTTAATATCTCTCACATTGTCAAGCCAAACTGGCTCTTCGTTCAGCTTCCGACTCATCCATCATTTCTCCTTATGCAAAATTTGGAAGACAGCATGATATATTGGTATAATGATAAATACTGAACAGAAACACTTGAATCCATCTGTACATAAAAGTTGTCAAGAAACTCTACAATCTTCACGCATAATTTGCGATTCTTAGTCAATATGGACTAGAGTTTAGTACAATCGCCATTGATAATCTCCTTTAATCGCGTCAAAATTGATCATTTCGCTTTTTGACTTCGTTCTTTACTCATGTACTTCTTCGTAATACTTTATTGAAATCGCTGTGAATACTCTGACAAACATATTTCCTAATAGTTGATTATTTACATAGAGATATGGTAAATAACGCAGTATATATATCATTCTAACAATGATCAATAAGATTACATTTAGCTGTACAGAAGATATAGTTTAATATGTACGTTGTTTTTTTCATATGAGCTACTTTTATATAAACTGCAGTTAACACTTCTTGTATAACGTTTGTAAATCTTGCATAAGCAAGTGATCTCAGTTCGTAAAACGTGCA